AAAAATTAAAAATTACATGTTGGCTTTGACGGCATTCGAACCCGAGCATGCTGGGAGCTAAGAACTAACAGCGAGCATCTCTACACGTTCAGCTACAGCCAAACATGCAAATGTGCTTTCAAATGCTCAACTTCAATCACATTTCGTTAAAACACGAGCAGTGATCGGATAACAAACAATAAGCTGGTGCAGAGACACGAGTTGGTCCGCTACATCATGACAGAGGAACACTTTTGTAAGTACTCCAATTTACCATAAATAGACTACATGGTCCAACAATTTTTGCAGGGTTTACCCAGCTACGATTTGTTCAAATCTAAATTTGTCTTTGTTTATTGTCTTTGCTATTTATTTTTCTGTGATCGAATATTATTGGGCTGAACTGATTCTTGATGATAATCCTAACAAAATTGTCATTTAAACTCTCTATATCTCAGTCGTTTGTGTATCGATCGATTTTAAATTTTCATACAATAAACTACAAAGTATTCCAAAGAATTTAAGTTTAACACCACTTCTTAATACTCAGTACAAATAAAACTACAGGTTTTTAACTTTTTTATGAGAATTAAGAGAATGTTTGTTTTCAAATCTAAAAGTTGTGTTTTAAAGTTTGAAATCAATTTTTTGTAATTTATTTTTGTGCTATAGGCCGTATGTTAAATAAAATATTAAATGTTTTTCTGCCTTTTTTACTTTTAATGCTTAGCTTTGAAGAAACTTTATTTCCAAACTGCTTATAGGAGTGTTGCCACCTGATTTTATAATTACATTCGAATTGAATTAAGAGGATTAGATAATTGAAATATGTATTACAATACAAGTGTCAGACGAAAAAGATTTAACGAGGTTTTGGTTTAAAAATAATTTGAACAAGATTGCCATCTGTTTGAAAAGTCGAATTAAATTAAATTATATGAAATATTGAAATATTGTCGTCAAACAAAGAAGTATTAGGAAAAATTTAATTTCAGCATTTATAACATTAAAGAGGGTTTCCACCTGTGTAAAAAGTTAAATTTAAATTATTTAGCAAGTCAAATGAATTATTAAAGTTTGGGTATAAATTGACATTCCATAAAAATGTTTTTTTTCTTAGTTTTATTTAAGAGGGTTGCATATGTTTTAGAAATTTAATTCAACTTGAACTAAGGGAATTAGATATACAATTTAAATATATATCGCAAATGGGTGTCAGTCGAAAAAAGGTTTAACGAGGTTTGGTTATAAAATATTTTGAATAGGTTTGCCACCTGTTTTAAATTAGAATTTAATTAAAGTATGCAAAATTTAAATTAAATATTAAAACATGACATGAAACAAAGGTGGTAAGATATCCTCAGTTTGAATATTAATAATAATAAGGGTTGCCACCTGTTTAAAAATGTAAACTCAAATTTTTTAATAAGTTAAAGCAATTATTAAAAATATGGGTATCAAATGGAATGGGTTTAAAAAGGCTTTATTTCTAAACTGTATTTAGGATCGTTGTCACGTATTTAAAAAATAAAGTTTAACTCAATTCATCAGGCACATGAAATATGTAGGTATCTCAATATCAGACGCACGAGATTTGTTTATTTTTTAACTATATTTAGAAGGGTTTCCAGCTGTTTCAGAGGTCTTTGCTAACTCATGCACAAATCCGAAGACTGAGATAACACGAGCACGAACACGAAGGAGAATGCTAATACGGGGACCTAGGTTAATAAAAAGTAATACAAATTTCTGCAGTATGAAAGGAAATAAAAATGAATTGTATTAGTGATACACGTCATGGCATACATCAATTTATAAGCATATGGTACATATGACTGAAATCAATGTGAATCTGCTTCTCTATTGCTAATTATTATTAATTTGCAATTCACATTGATTTATTAAATTCAATTCAGTACAATCAAAACTAATATTTCAAATACAGTTTTTAACTTCAATATGATCTTAATAATATCACGTATTCTACGTTTAAGTTGAGCGGCTGTGTCTCCGGCACAGCCTGCAGGTCAAGACGAAGGCGCTGGACTGATCCTTTTATTTAACATACGGCCTATAGCTCAAAAATAAATAATTAAATTATATTAAACGGCCAATAACAAAAACAATCATAATTTTTTTTGTTTTAAAACAGTATTGTAGATGACTATCTAAGGAAGTTTTTGCGAAAGTTTTAGATTTAAACATCAAGTAGTTGCAAGGTATAACAATATTATTATGACGCGCACGGTTAGCAGATTTGCGCGCTGCGCTCTAAAAGGCTTTATAAAGTAAAAAAGTCTCTTTTTTATGAGTGATTTATATGTTAAACGACTTGATCTTTCGATTGAGATAACTAAAAACAATATTAAAAATGACCATAATTAAGAAAAATTACAAATAAATTTTCGTTCAGAATTTTCACCATGAAAAAGGGAAAATTTTCGAAAACGCATAGTACCATCGTATAGCCCGTACAAAAATCTATAGAAATCATAGTTTTCGAGATATTTTTCCCATTTTCTGTCTGCCTCCCAGCTAGTCGAAAAGGAGCTTGTTTTGCACCGCTCAGTGCGCTGGGTCATTTGACGTGAACTGCCCCATTTATATAAACATATTTGAAAAGAAACCAAAAAAATTTAAAAAGTAGTAGTTATATAAAAAGAGGTATCTACATATGTATTGCTTAATTTTGGGACTTCTCAGTTCGATATTTGCGTGGTGGTCGCACGAGGGAAACAGAACATGGATAAGTATTCAAAATTCATTATTTGTATTTAAATGATAAATAACAAATTCCTTTATGTAATAAGGGAGCACTATCATATTAAAACGACCAATAACCATTAGAAGGTGCCAAGGCCGTATTGTAGCGAACTTGAAAAAAGGCAAAATGAGCTTTGAAAAAATGCAAAAAAAGGCATTATTTTTTTAATTTTGTTCTTGGGAAATAATCCCATGGTTTTCAGGATTTGTAATTTGCACTGATGGCAATAATAGAAATTCCTTTTCTTGACCAGTATTGGCTAAATTTCTTTTTTTATTCAGTAATTAATAGTTTTCTTTTGTGAATGTCTAGCTCATTCAGAGTGTCCAGATTGTTTAAACAAAAAGCGCAATTTAAGAAAAAAAATCGCCAATTTTTTTTTAAATAAAATTCATGAAATCGATTTAACAAATCTTTTATTTTAAAAATGAAATCTTGTTATAATATAGTTTTTTAAAACCAAAAACTAATATAATACCTTCAGAGGGTAATAATAAATAACACAAATCACTTATATAATAGTGATGTACAAACAATTTTCTTTAAAAATACGCATACTTTTTAAAAATATTTATTTCAACACATTTTGCAACCGGACTGCACAATTAATAAATTTATTAT